AACAAGTATAAAATGAATAAAAATATAGACACATATGATTGCGGGTAAAAAAAATGTAAGTGGACAAAATCAAACATAAAAATAAACAAGTATCAGAGTCATCAATCAATATTATCACAAAAGAGTCGACAGGATCATATCACAGAAGAGTCGACAGGATCTTATCACAGAAGAGTCGACAGGATAAGACCTGGCCGGGAAACAAATTCCCATACCTACTGGAATCTGAAGAAAAAAGACGCAAGACCACGATGATCGGCCAAACCAAACTCAACTGCAGCCACTTTTCTTCGAGCTCTCACCCCCTTCCTCGCCAACTTTTGAACCGTGATCCGGAAAAAGTGATCACCTACGACGGAGATGAACCTGCCGCACACTTCTCCCAGCACTAGATATTCTCAAGAACGATCGCCGCGCCAGAGCAGGACACCTTCCATCACCATGGACTCCGCCATATCCCTGCCACTACTGTGTCGGACAACACTGGCACGTACAGCAGACAGAACACTCCCTTAATGAATCTACTTGCGCCCTCAACCAGCATAACCTGTGAGTGTAATTGTTTCCACCCCTACCATTCATTCTTCAAAAAAGTCATTCTTTGTAAACTCTGATGCCAATATTTTCTATAATTAGTTTAGTACAATTTATTCTCTCCACGCCTATTAACAATGATTTTATTCTCTCAATACTATTTATCTATATATTTGTAACCCATTAAATTTGTACCTTACCAATCGAATGAATAATAGATATTTTAATGAAATATTTTTATTTTAAATTCATTCCTTAAAATTGGCATTCTATCTATGAATGCTTTACGATTTTTAATAATAACAACAATCAATTTCATAATAGTGCTCAATCACAATAGGGTTCCAGTACCTAAACATCTTTACCCTTTTGTATATGACCTTCTCTTCTAATTGTAAGCACGGCTCACGAAAAATAATTTCTTTCCCTAACCGACCCAAAATTCACTCTGTAATTCAGGCGTCGAAGAATTCCAACCATCACGTGAGCCTTGCTTACAACCAACTCTTGGTGACTCTTATCTATCTTCCCCTTAATGTCCCTCTCATTCTTACAACTTTGTTAACCTTTTACCAGTCCATGACCCTCTATGAAATTATTGATTAATCATTTATCGAACTACTTTTGCCACTAATCTCCACTCTTCATTTACGATAATATATTTTGTAGTTCCCTCTAGCATATCCACCGACCCACACCATCTAGCCACTGGTGTGTTCGTCACAGGATGCAGATTGACTAATTGCTAGATGTTTATCAACTCCCTTTTGTTCTCACTTGAACAAACTGCATCGAGCGGCACAGTTCGCTTCTTCTTCTCGCGCCACACGTTCGCCACACGGACCCTGTCTTCAAATCTTTGTTTGTCCCTTGTCCAAACCAACACGATATAACCTACCACCGATATTTCCCACGGAGGTACGTTAAACATCGTCGCTGATTATGTCCGGTCCGTCATCATTTCGCGCAGACATGGGTTTTACGTTCAACTCACCGCGAAATCATCGCCTTGCACAAGCTCCCACGACGGTTCAAACACCTCGTGTCCGAGCAGCTTGTATCTTGTAAAGGACAACGCCGTCCTCGTCCCAATTTTTGGCACTGTCCGCGCATACTTTCCTCTAATTGGTTAAAACTACTAAAGTCTCATAGTATCGAAATAATTAAGGCCCAAAGCAAGTTTCCCCTCGCTTTGTTCGCCTATATATTCTACCTTAGTATTTCGAACTATTTTATCTTCTCAAATTAACTATAAGTCCATGCGACTTCCTCACCTACACACGGGATTTTTCCCCTCGGACTCGCTACACAAGTAACTGCATAGATAAGGTAGAATGGCCCAAAGCAAGTTTCCCCTCGCTCTGTTCGCCAAAATTCTAACATTGTATGTAGTTCTATATTTACCTCAGTCCTGAGCTCACGCAATTTCCAACCTCAACCTCATTTCTCGTACTCTACACCTATAGCCTAGAAAGCCCATCCCAAGTTTCCTCTTGCCATGTCCGCCTGAAAAATATCTTAAAGTGTAGAGTTCCCCAGTCTTAATGATCTTCAGAATTTCATCATATGTATGTGACTCTTCTTCTCCTTGTTCACACTCCTCAATAACATTTCCCCTATAATACATTATATGTTATTGTATAGGCTTTTATAACTTTGATATTATAAAGAATTCCCTTAAATATCAAACTCTCCGGTGTTGTAAAATTGCTTGTAAATAATATTTACTTGTGTACTATACAATATTTTATTTACATAAAACTATGTCACCATACCCTTAATTTATTTCAACTGTAAAATTATTTTATCTATTCCTGGCTTCTCCAGCTTTAAGTATACTCAAACCATGTTCAGCCTTCTTCAACGGGGGCCATATGTCATAATATATACTCTTCCTGGAATAATAAAACGGACCTACAGTCGACCCAGAGAGGGATGGGCAGCTGAAGGGTGTCACTTTAGACATCAGGACATTCCAAGGGGCTCCTGGGGGCCGTCACTTGGCACCTCGGGACCTTGGAGACAGTTGGGTGATTGTGTTCGACGCGAGCGGACGCCCGGCGGTTGCCGGGCCCGTCTATCTCTCTCTCTGGTTGGCTTCCAAATTCCTCTACCAATTTGTGGTGTGATTATTTCTCTTTCCCCACATTATTATTATATTATCACATTAAAGAGTCGACAGGATCTTATCACAGAAGAGTCGACAGGATCATATCACAGAAGAGTCGACAGGATCTTATCACATATATATATAAAGGAAAGGATAAGGAAAGGAAAGAAGGATATAAAATATATTTTTCGTACAAAAATAACCACTCTCTCTATTGAATAGATTTTCAAAAAGATATATATAAATAAAATATCTAGAGATATCCTACATGATCTTAGCCAAAAGGCCGAGAAACGATATTTTATATATAGAGATGAATGGTTTCGTGTGTTTTCTGCTCGAGTGAATGTTTCGCAGGTAGAATTTTGTTCCTGCCTACTGAAAATTATTATCTGGCTCCGCCTGTGGAATTCTTTAGTGAATATTCCCCTAAATAATTTTGTTTATGTCAATCAAGCATGATAGGCAATATTGTCATTATCATTTCTGACTAAAAATATATTGTTCCTCAGTACTTGGTTAATTATAATTTTTCTTGGTTAAAGTGAGACAAAAAAACTCTTCCAGATTTAACTCTCTCCCTGTTCAAATTTCAGCGAGATTAGTTACATATTGAGGGCGTGCATAGCCGACAAACATTTATATATGTTCCCGGCTTCGCCAAATTTTTACCCGAATAAAAGTTTGCCTAACAAAAATTTGCTAAAACAATTCTAGCAAACATCCAATCCCTAATGAATATATACTTGTCTATACTCTCAATAATTTTTTCCCGGCCCCTTGAAAAATACTCGATAAGTTTTAAAAAATCAGTATCAATTGGTCCACTCGGTAATTTGAAGTTGAAGGAATAGTATCTTGCCACAAACGAAGATTTGTAAATAACTGTATTAAGCGAATGTACCCGCTTCGCCCGGTTTTTTATCCAAAAAAAAGTTTGCCTAACGGACATTTGTTAAAACGATTCTTGAAATCATCCAATCCGCCTATATATTGATTTATAAAAGTATATAAATATAAATATTGTTATATGCGTTTAAATATATTTTTGAAACACATAATTTTTTGAAAACATTTATTATATTTCAAATAAGATATTGTCACTTTTGTGAATTTGATAATTAATTATTAAATTAATTTTTTTTTCTCAATGAGAGAATTATGTATATTGATATAAAAATTCATCGCATACAATGTAATCTTTCTTTCTATATTATACTAGACGTATGACCCGGCTTCGCTCGAGAATTCCCCCGATTGCAATTTTCTTCATACTGAAAGAACATCAATAATAAATATTAGAAGTGCCATAGAATAGAAATACATAAGTAACACATAAACTACAGGAAAAAAGTGTGTGTGAAAGCAAAAATTGTATTATATTAGTGTTTAGGTATTTGATTTAAGTAATATAGTTGATATAATGATATATATTTATATTATATTCTAGCTGAATGACTCTCTTGTGAAACGTCCCGCTCCAAACTTTACATGTACATTAGGTCAGCTGGTATTACCCCCCATTTTCACCGCTAGAGGCGCGAGCGAAAGAGCAAATTTGCAAATAACACGACGGATATTTGGGATAGAGACCTGAAATTTTCACTATGAGTTTTTCCAGATTCTACTTTATATACTGTTAAAATATCAGTCAGATTAGTTACGTATTGTGGAAGTGTATAATTGACAAACATACATACATACGCTGACTTTTATATATATATAGGGATAATAATATAAATGAGTTTTAAAAATTGTAAAAAAGAAAAAAAGGCATCGGCAGGGAATCAAACCCAGGCCGCCCGCGTGGCAGGCGAGCATTCTACCACTGAACCACCGATGCTTATAAGAAATGGCCCTATTTGGGTATTTATTCCATTCTCAAAAGCAAACGATGACAGAATTGTTGATGACTCTAATACTTGTATTTATAATTATGTTAGCATAATGAATTAGTCAGTATTCCCATGGTCTCCAGCGAAGAGGTGTGAATTGACTTTTTGAAAATATACATAATTATAAAGATAGAAGCTTCTATAGAAATAACTAAAATAAGCCGAAATAGCTCAGTTAGGAGAGCGTTAGACTGAATATCTAAAGGTCCCTGGTTCGATCCCGGGTTTCGGCATCTTTTTTTGATTATTAAATTTTTACTTACCGTAACTTGACACGTGACTGAATTGTGCATGACGCTGATAACTGTATTAAACTAGCTGAATGACCCGGGAAACGCTCGGGGTTTACCCGATTAAATGCTTTTATTCAAATATTATTCGTTACAATTATAAATTGGCGTCGTGGATATCATTCTTGTATAATATATAAATGAGTTTTAAAAATTGTAAAAAAAAAAAAATGCATCGGCCAGGAATCGAACCTAGCCGTTCGCGTGGCAGACGAGCGTTCTACCACTGAACCACCAATGGTTATGAGAAATGGCCATATTTGGGTAATTATTCCATTCACAAAAGCAATCGGTGACAGAATTGATTGAGAAAGGGCAATGCCCGGGTTTTACCCGATTAAATGCTTTTATTCAAATACTATTCGTTACAATTATAAATTGGCGCCGTGGATGTCATTCTTGTGAAACGTCCCACTCCAAACTTTGTGTCTGAGAAGCGATATTTTTATAAGGAGATGATCTGGCTTTGTGTCTTCTGCTTGAATGAATGTTTTTCTGTTAGAATTTTGTTCCTGCATACTAAAAAATGAACTGGCTTCACCCGTGGTCTCTGCCTTTTGGAATTTTTCTGGATATAATTTTGTATCTGATAATCAAATATGATACACTAATATTGTCATCATCATTTTCTGAATAAAAAACAACTACTTTTTCCCAGAACCTGTCAATTTATTTTTCTTGACTAAAAATCCGAAAAATATCCTTTCCAGATTTTTCTCTATTTCCTGTTAAAACACGTTTTACATGTCCATTAGGTCAGCTGATTGGCGCTGCTTGCGAGCAAAAGGGCAAATTTGCCACGCAATTCGCAAATAACTTGTATACATACTTGTATACTTGTGTACATAGACCATAAATCCATACATAGACAGGAAAAGCACATATTTTTTAATAATATAAATGAGTTTTAAAAATTGTAAAAAAAAAAATGCATCGGCCGGGAATCCAACCCGGGGCGCCCGCGTGGCAGGCGAGCATTCTACCACTGAACCAAAAGCAAACGGTGACAGAATTAAGAAAGAATTGTGCATGACGCTGATAACTGTATATATTAATGATACAACAATATTGTCATCATCATTTTCTGAATAAAAACAACTACTTTTTTCCCAGAACCTGTTAATTTATTTTTCTTGACTAAAAATCCGAAAAATATCTTTTCCAGATTTTTCTTTATGTCCTGTTAAAACACGTTTTACATGTCCATTAGGTCAACTGATACTACCTCCCATCTTCACCTCTAGAGGCGCTGCTTGCGAGCGAAAGGGCAAATTTGCCACGCAATTTGCAAATAACTTGTATTACATACTTGTATACTTTTGTACATAGACCATAAATCTGTACATAGACAGGAAAAGCACATATATTTTAATAATATAAATGAGTTTTAAAATTTGTAAAAAAAAAATGCATCAGCCGGGAGTCGAACCCGGGGCGCCGCCCGCGTGGCAGGCGAACATTCTACCACTGAACCAAAAGCAAACGGTGACAGAATTAAGAAAGAATTGTGCATGACGCTGATAACTGTATATATTAATGAATGTATGTGTGTCTGTCTGTCCTTTATGCCTGACCAAACCACTCATTGGAACGCCATGAAACTTTGGAAAGTTATTTATTATAGTACTGGGAAAGTTTCTAGCAAATAAAATTTTTGAAATAACTTTTCGCCCTAAAAATAATCAAGATAAAAATTCTAATTTATCTGTTATAATTCAACAATCTGCTTTGAATATTATCATGATGATAGGATGATTTTGTGATGTACAAAATTAGGAAAGACAAAATTCAGGAAGACACAGCAATTTATTTGAGACAAGAATAATGATACAATTTAAAGGCAAGATACTATTCCTCTGACTTCCAATTACCGAGGGAACCAATTAATATTGATTTTATTCAACTTATCGAGTATTTTTCAAGGGACCAGGAAAATATGTTCACTTTATCGAAAGATTCGTTAGACAAACCTTTACCCGGGCAAAGCCGGGTACGTCCGCTAGTTTATAAATATAATTTCACCAGAAACCGCGAGAGGCGCTGCTTGCGAGTGAAAGTAAAAAAATTGCAAATAAAATTGCAAAGAATATTTGTAACGGCAGCTGGCATGCCTATATAGTAAATTATCAGTGAGCACATATTTATCACTGATGATACTCTGTGCAGTTGCCTTTTGACAGATTGTAATATATACCACATGTAAACTTATGTCTGATAATCAATATGCTATATCTGATGTAAGCCTAAAAGAAATAAAGTCTTTCTTTTAAACTTCCAAGTACTTCTTGCTGATTAACGTTAACCAACAAATCCGGGACGTTACATGGTGGCAGCGGCGCTTGTAAACAACTGCACGTGGTAAGAACAATTTAATAATTTCCAAGTTCTTAAAGTATTTCAGAACATCTCTAATTTGCATGTTCAAATAAAATTCGATTGCATAATAATTTATTTGTAAAAATAAAAGATACTGATTGCGAGAGGTTTTTGTCTTTTGGATTTAATAATAATATATACAAAATAATTTAATTTACAAGCAAGAAGAAATAAGTGTATTTTTAGAAAAAAAAATACAATAACAACATGGCGGAAAATGCTATTCGACCTCCAAAACAAATAGGCCTAAATGAACTAAACAAAGAGGGCTGGGAATCTTGGCTTGAAAGCTTTGAATGGTATGAAATTGCTACCCAATTAAGTAGTAAAGCACCAGAGGTACAGGTTGCTATCTTTATGGCTGCAATGAGATGAGAGGCTCAAAATATTTTCAAATCTTTCAACTTAAATAATGCAGATAAAATAATCTGAGCATTGTAAAAGACAAGTTCAACAACTATTTTTCTCCAAAGCTGAACACTACAATTGAAAGATTCAAATTCAATCAGATGAAACAGAAAGAAGATGAAACATTTAATGATTTTCTGACTAGGATCAAATTACAGATAGCAAACTGCAAATATGCTGTCATGTCTGATGAACTACTTAAAGATCGAATAGTTGTAGGAATTATTAACAATGAAATAAGAGAAAGACTTCTTAGTGAGGCTGACCTTAATCTGGAAAAAGTCACACAAATTTGCATAGCATGTGAAAATGCCACAAACCAAATGAAGCATGTACTATCCGACTCAGACAAACAAGTTGCTGTGACAAAGATGAACAGTAAGAAGTGGGAAGATAGAAAAGAGCCGAAGAAAGAAAATACCACTAACCAAAGTCACAAAATAATAGAAAACTGCAGAAATTGTGGTAGATCCCACAAAATCAACCAATGTCCAGCATATCAATAGAGATGCAACAAATGCAAGAAACTCAACCATTTTGCTAATCTTTGCAGATCCCAGAACACAAATTCATACAAAGTCAAACAAATTGTTGGGTCACCAGAACCTGAAATGATTCAAGAATTTGTAATCCAGTCAGTTGAAAACACCAACCTGACCAAAGATTGGTATGAAGAAGTAAAAATCAAAGGCATTAAAATTGACCCTGAGAAAGTGCGTGCAATAGGAGAAATTAAGTTACCGAGCAACAAGCAAGAACTACAACGTCTCTTAGGAATGATACAATACCTGAGCAGGTTCATCCCTAACCTTGCAGAGAAAACCAAAAACATGAGGTTGCTTTTGAAAAAAGATACACCTTGGCTATGGGATGAATCCTTCGATTGTGATCTCTTAGAGATCAAGACTTTGCTCATAACTGCACCAACTCTGAAATTCTTTAATCCCAACGGAAATCTGACACTTTCAGTAGACGCCAGTTTATATGCCCTTGGAGCGGTTCTATTACAAAATGGAAAGCCCATAGCCTACGCCTTATCAGCTCTCAACTCCACTCAGCAGAACTACGCTCAGATAGAAAAGGAAGCACTTGCCATCAAATTTGGATGCGAAAAATTACATCAACCCATTTATGGCAAAACTGTTGACGTCGAGACGGACCACCGTCCTTTAGAGACCATATTCAAGAAGCCGTTAAGCAAAGCACCCCCGAGGCTCCAGATAATTTTTCTAAAGATACAACAATACGATCTCAGGATTAAATACAAGAAAGGAATAGAACTGCTAACAGCTGATCTACTAAGTAGAGTCTGCTCATATGAAGACACCTACTTGGAAGAGAACTTTGAAGTACTGATGACCACCCCAACAAATAAGTCAAGCTATGAGGAACTTCAAGCTCTTACAAAAGAGGACCAAGAACTACAAGAACTAAAAACCTAATCTTCAATGGCTGGCCAAACTACAAATCAGCAGTCCCTGGAAGCTGCAAGAAATACTGGCCATATAGAGATGAACTCTCGACAAACGGAGACCTAATCTTCAAAGGTAGCAGAGTCTTCATTCCCCTAAGGTGAAAAGCAAAGATACTCAAGTTAATCCACGAAGGACACCACACACACACACACACACACACACACACACACACAAGGAACAAGACAAAATAACCAATGATCATAAAAGAGATACCGAGTCTTCCTTGGGAGATAGTCGCAGCTGACATTTTCTCAATAAAAGGAAAAAATTACCTGTTAATAACAGATAACTACTCTGGATTCATTGATTTCAAAGAAATGAAGGTAATGAACTATGCAGAAACTATTGAATCTCTTAAAAAATGGTTTAGCGTACATGGAATTCCCAGACTCCTGGAAACTGATAATGGGCCAAACTTTACGTCCAGAGACTTTAAAGACTTTCAAAAGAAGTGGTTGTTCGACCACCAGACATCAAGTCCTCTATATCCTAAATCAAACGGATTAGCAGAGAGAGAGAGCGGTACAGACAGCCAAGAACCTCATCAGGAAGTGTTTGGATTCAGGACAAGAAGTGGAACTAGCACTTTTGAACTTTTACAACACTCCTAGAGATGGTCTTCCTTCACCGGCTCAGTGTCTGTTCAGTCGCAGGACCAGAACCCTCCTTCCTACTAGCACTCATCAGTTGGAATCAGAAATCCAAAAGGGACATACACAAAACCTAAGAAATAAGCGGGAGAAGCAGAAAACACACCACGAGAAGACAGCTAAGACAACGCGAAGCTTCAAGGAAGGTGAAAAGATAATGCTGAAACAGCATCACCGTGAATGGATCCCTGCCAGAGTTACCCAAGAAGTAGCTCCAAGATCATATAAAGTGCAAACACCTACTGGTGAGTACCGCCGCAACAGCTCCTTCATGCGACATTCGAATCTGGAGAGTCCAAAGCAACAGCGAAGGAAAATCCCGGAGATCCCCA